CCATCATGAAGATCACTACAGCTAAAGGCAGGTCCAAGGCTTTCAACACCTGTGCTTCTCACCTGACAGTAGTTTCCCTCTTCTATACCTCAAGTAGCTTTGTCTATTTGAGTTCCAGCTCTGGCGGTCCTTCCAATTTCGACAGATTTGCATCGGTCTTCTACACAGTGGTGATTCCCATGTTGAACCCATTGATTTACAGTCTGAGGAACAAGGAAATCAAAGATGCCTTGAAGAGGTTGCAGAAGAAGGGAGGGTATTGCTGACATCACAGATTCTGAGATTTTTAAATATATTATACCTTCAAAATTTTCTGAATGCACAATACTGAGCATATGAACAGACTGCTACAAACTTCACACTGCCTTTGGACAAAGAAGGTTTAATTTTATGTAGGTAATATACCACATTTTACTAAGAGGTGATACAAGTCTGCAAAAACTGTATATATTTATGTCTTGGAGTTTCATAACTTTCAGTCTATATGAGGGGAGGTCTCTTCATTTATTAATCTGTCCACATGTATTTGTGAAACATTAAGGTTTAGAAACTTTTGTCCTCTTCTTGATTCTGATCCTGAGCCATGAGAAATACCTGGCTGAGGCCCCAGGAGTATAAAAACCCTGTCTACGAAATATTCTAATGCAATGACTTGATGGAGATAGATATTTTTTGTTTCTGACCTGAGGGGAAGTAAACAGAGGTAGGGTTTGGACATTTGGATGGAAACAAAGCTATGCAGTTGGTCTGATTTTGCCTTCTGGAAACACCAGTCTGAGACAGGTAATGTTTGTTTAAGGTCTCCTTAGTGCTAACCATCTAATAAAGTTTTGGTCACATCTTCATCTGTACCAGCTGTAGTCTTTGGAAGAAATAGGTGGTTTCAATCATAAAATTGAATAGACCGAAGTATGTGGACCCTGCAGGGCCATTTCTTATGAGTCTAATGATGTAGTCTCTGGCCTTTAGTGTCCAATGGGGATTTTTGTTGGGAGATGCATTCAAATTTCATTTCACAGCCAATAGTTATTTCTGAGAATGTGGGACTTAAACCTCTCTTTCCTGCATTAAATCCAGAAAATCTACCTTGGTTTACATAGTCAGTGGATCACACTATCAAGTTGTTTCTGATATTTCATCATCTATTCATGTTTGGTAAGAGAAGACTTGTGTGAGAATTCATTGTAATAATAACATATTAATATTCATTACCTTGGTTTACATAGTCAGTGGATCACACTATCAAGTTGTTTCTGATATTTCATCATCTATTCATGTTTGGTAAGAGAAGACTTGTGTGAGAATTCATTGTAATAATAACATATTAATATTCAGTATTCCTGAAATGAAGAGTAAATAGGGAAAACTATTTTCCCTCTCTTATTGTCCATTTTCTCCTATTGTCCTCTCCTATTGTCCATTTTCTGCTCCAATGATTTTTGATTATATGAAGTAATATAAAAGATGGGGTAGAATGGTCAGAGTTACTTTAATTCTGATATGTTCCTGGAAGCATTAAAGACCGTGAGAGAAAATGAATAGTAGGATAGGCAGAGTCCTCACCTCTCGCCAGGTGTTATTAATATTTTGGTCTTTGTGATGTGATTAAAAGAATAGCAACATATGTAATAGCGCTGACTATTGATTTGCCTGATTGATATTAGACTTGAATAAGCTGATAGAAAACAGATGTCATTACAATTACAGATTATTTCTGGCAGTTCATTGAATGCTTAATGATATTCTGAGTGTCCATTTTGCTGAGTGACAGGAATTGTTTCATTTAGTTAAGAACTGTAAGTGAAGAGGTATTTGAAGGCTTTGCTAAGTCTTTCATAAGCTTCCACAATGGCAGGATTGAGAGGGGGGAAATTATTGTACCTCTGGGAAAGTATGTGATGGCTTTCTAAATGCCAAGGAAGAAATGCAGTATGAAGAGATGTGTGGCCTCTGTGCAGCCATAGGTGTGCTACCTGAAGCATTGCTTCTTAAAAATGTATAATAATGGGTGACAGGTCTGTTTCTATGGGGCCAAGAGATCTTCCTTAAGAGACAGACCTCTGTTAGGTTTATAAGATAGTATTTATTAGCTCTTATGAAAAATACTGCAATAAATGTGGAGGTGCAGATATCTTTGAATGTCCTGTTTTTATTTCCACTGCATATATAGACAGAAGCAGACTTGCTGGGTCCTACAGCAGTCCTATTCGGAGCAATTTGAGGAATTCCATGTGAGGGTTTATTTACGGACTCTATTTATTTCAGTGGCTTATCTATTTTTATGGTAGGCTCTTACTGTTTTGGTTAATATAGTCTGTGGCATAATTAGAAGTCTGGAGTGTGATGCTTCCAGTTTTGTTCTTCTTTTTCAGAAGTCTTTGACTATTGAGTGTCTTTTGTGGTTCCGTGAAATTTTTAGTACTGTGTTTTTTCTATTTCTGTGAAAAATGCCACTAGAATTTTGATAGAGATTGTATCGAATATAGAGATGGGTGTGTTTAATACGGACATTTGAAGAACATTGATTTTGTTCCAAGAACACAGATTATCTTTCCATTTGTTTGTGTCTTCATTTTCTTTCAGCAATTATTGTGCTTTTCATTGTAAAATGTTTTACTTCCTTGATTAAGTTTTTATTAATGAAACTTACCAAATGAAAAAGACCTATTTGCATATTGTAAAAGCTGCAGACCATTTTATTGTTTCTAATGTTATATGTGGTTTTCTTATGGTGATTTTATATCCTACAACTTAATGAATTTGTTTCAACAGATTATTGTTTGAATATCTAGTATTTTTTATATATATAATAATGTATCATCTTCAATAGTGACAATTTTCTTTTTTTTTGTGATGGAGATGCCTTTCATTCCTTTCTTTGTCTGATTGTTCTAGCTAGGACTTCCAGTACTGTGTTGAAAAGGAGGAGTGAGATAAGGCATACTTGTTTTGTTCTTAATCTTAGAGAACAAATTTCAATCCTTCTATTTTTCATATTATGTTAGCTGTGAGTTTGTGGTATATGGCCTTAATTGGGTTGTGGTATGTTCCTTTGAATATCCAATTTGCTGAAGGTTTTATTTTATCAATGTTTCTTTAGCATCTTTTGAGATGATCATACGATATTTATCTTTTATTGTATTAATGCAGTGTATCCAATTTATGGATTTTTATGTTGTGAACCATCCTTGCAAATCAGGAATGAATTCATCTTGATCACAGTATATGAACTTTTTGATGTGTTGTTGAATTAAGTTTATTAATATTTTATCAAGAATTTTTGCATCTGTATTCATCAGAGCCATCGGTATATAGTTTTGATTTCTCGTAGTGTCCTTATCTATTTTTGATATAAGGATGATGTTATCATATATAGTTTAGCATAAGGCTTGGGGTTAATGTTAGGATTAGCTTTATATCTTTTTTTTTCTTAGTCTAGGAAAGGTTTGTCAATTTGTTTACCTTTAAAACACTAGCTTTTAGTTTCTTTATCATTTCTTTCATTATCACCTTTAATCCATTTATTTCCACTGTGATCTTTGTTATCTCCTTACTTATGCAAACTTTTGCATGGTCTGTATTTTCTTATCTATTTCCATGATTTCAGAAGTTAATTTGTTTATGTGAATCTCTTAACTGTACAGATGTGCTTTTGTTGATGTGTGGGTGCTGAGTTTTAGTAGTCAAAACAGGACAAGAGGTTCTGGTTCAGGTAAGTAGCCCAGGTGGACCCTGAACTCATCTCTTCCCAGAAACACAGAAAATCTACAGTTCCATACAGTGCAATTTTCTCTGAGAGAAATTCATCAGCTAGCTGACTCTTGCATGTTGTGCAAATAAGGAAAAAGCCCATGTTGAGACAGGGAAGACAGATAGAGAGTCAGTCTCCACGGTAACCCCATCCCTGGGCACAGTCATATGCAACTCCCAGATTCTCCTTGAATAGTGAAGAGGTTGATCCAACAGCCAGTGTCCTAACAATGAATATTCCTTCTGAGGGATGATGCCCCCAATAACTTCTAGCTCTGAAAGTCAACTGGACTTAAATCCACAAGATCCATAAAATTAGAGCATAGAGACGTTTTTTTCTCCCCGGTCTTAGTGCAGGGGTAGCATTCAGATACATCCAGCTCCCAGCACCTCAATGAAAAAGACTTATTTGCATATTCTAAAAGCTGCAGACCATGTGTGAGGCTTCTAATTTGACACACACCTCCCAACAGAATGCAATCTTGTCTGGAGACTAGGGCAGTCTGCAGGTGCCAGCTTTGCATAGCCTCCCTGCCCCACTCCAGTTCACCAGTCTCTCCTGGGAAGGAGCTTGTGCGCATACCTGGTACCCCAGGTTTTGTGTTTGCTGCTCAGAAGATAATGCTCTTGTCTGCCTTGCTCTGTTGGTTACTGGGGCTTGCATTCATGGGTCGCAGAGGTCTGCAGCACACAAACAAATAGTTCTTAACAGACTGTCGTCCCCGGAGCTTAGTGCAGAGGGCATAGAAAGAAACACCTAACCTCAGTATTTCTCCAAAATAAATCTACTTACCTACTTTCAAATGCTTCCTGCGTGTCTGGTCCCAATTACCCTGCCTCTAGTTGTTGAATGAGAACCCTCTCTTTCGGGTCACTGACTGCTGTTGTTATGCTATAAACTACTAGGTGCTACTAAGAGAACCAAAGGCTGCTGGGAAATCACAAAGGTTTGAGAGATAACTATGAGATAAGGCCCAGATGGATGATAAGTTTCATCTACACAAGATGTACCATGAATACTAGGAGAGGTGGTGGTTGTTAATTTTTTATGCACAGAAGCCAACACAGAGAATCCAGAAAAATGAACCAAGGAATATGTCCAAACAAAAGAACAAAATAGAACTCTAGAAACAGACCTCACTGAAATAGGGATAAATGATTTACCTGATGAATAGTTCCTTTTATGATGATAAAGATTTTCAGCAAGGTTAGGAGACTTTATATGAACAAAATGAGCATTTCAATAAAGGGTTACAAAACATAAGAAATTATCACATAGAATCACATAGATGCAGAATAAAATAAACTGAAAAATTCAAAAGAGATTCAGCCATACTGGATAAACTAGAAAAAGAATCAATGAAATTGAAGATAGGTCAATGCAATTCATCCTTTTAGAGGAGCAAAAAGAATAAAGGATGAAAAGAATGAAGATAGCTTAACGGACTTACAGGACACCATCAAATACATCAGTATTTTCATTATAGAAGACTCAGAAGGTGAAGGGAGAGTGAAA